AGGCTGCACAAGATTGAGTCACTCTCTCTGGAGGTATTTAAAAAACATATAGACTCGGTGCTTAGGGACATAGTTTAGTTATGAACATGGCAGTTTATTCAGTGGTTGGACTTAAGGGGTATGATGTGGTATGATCATAGGGGTCTTTTCCAGCCTAAATGATTCCATGTTCAAATTTTGTCTGAATTGAGCTATGGGGTGAGGGTTTTCCCTTTCTTTCCTAAGAGAGGAGTGGGAAGGTATTTGGTTTGACTTTGGAAAATTTCATAAATATATAAATGAAAGTAGATTTCAGGTTTTTGGGGATAGGACACAACACTATCTTCCACCAAAGAAATACAGGATAAATATACTGTGCCTTAGAAACTTTAAATATTTCTGTGTAATTTTCAAAGGTCAGAATTCTTTAATTCTGTATTAGGCCTTGTTTTTCTTGTATTTCAGCCAGCATTTTCCAGTGCACAGTAGTGATTTTTTTTTTTCCTTTCCTCCCTGTTTTTTGCTCAGTGTAAACAGTTCCTTGCTGTGGTTACACAGACAAATATAGCAGAGAACCCTTTTCTCGGCGAAGAGTCTCCCCGTGCATTTCTTAACCATTTTTGGGAAGAATCGATCTATTTGTGCTTGCGAGAGAGGGAGGCAGTAGCTGTAAATTGAAGTGACATCATATATATTACTCCCATTGATCCACTTTTAGACTAGAGCCAGGATAAAAGGAAATGGCATCAGGGAGGAAGTATGCTCATTTAGGCACAGATCCCAGTGTGATAATGGAGTAATAATAGAAATCACGCCACTGTCAATCGGTTGCTGCATTAGTCTGAGGCAGATTTCCCCTCCAAGGAGGCTTTCAATGACTTCATTCAAGTGCAGGCAGGAGCAAATGGGATATTCAACATACCAGCTGTACAACTTCAGTGATTTGTGTCCTGGCGGAGGGGTGCAGCGCAAGTGCTGGTGCTGTGGATACTCAAGTAGATGTATCTGTGTCACATTTCATGGCTGTGAAAGGTTAGTCAAATATTTCAGTGGCAATTTTTTCTTCTAGTATAAAGGCGGAATCTGGCATTTATTGCATTTGTTAATGTAGGAATTGATAAATACCCTCTTCCGCGTGGGTGGTCTTCTGGGATGTGAGGTCGATGACCTCTGTAGTGCTATACCAGATCTTTGAAGAGGAAAGATTTGTTTTCTTTGTGCTTTTTACAGGTTAGGGATTATGCTCAGAAAATTCATCGTTTCATTCACAGATTATTTGTAGAAAACCTTTCAAACCCACTAATGTTTTTAGATAATCTTGTAACAGTATAATGGCTGAAGTGTCTTGTGCACTTCTATGAATAAAATACAAAGTATTCTTTCCTCACTTCCCACAGATCTAATACACGTGAATCTCAGTTATATTTTCAATTTGGTTATATTTTCCTTAATTCTTTCCTCTTGCCTTTCTCAGATATAGACCCAGTTTTGATATTCCCTATAATTTACAGCTTGTTTTAAGGGTAACAGCCATGTTATTTAAAGCACCACATCAGATAAATTAGTGTAAGCAGGGAATAAATGGTTGTTTAGGGGCAGAACAAAGTGAATTCTTTAAAACGGACGGCTGAAGAGTTGGAGGAGAGGTCTCACAGTCTTATGGGCAAGATAATGTATACAGTGCTAGGCTACAGCTTTATAGAGGGGATGATGTTTAATTACATGGGACATGATTAAAAACCTCTGGTGTGCATGATCACAACATACTAATTTATTTCCACTTTGCAGTGTCAGTAGTCATCACTGAGGGAGGGGCAACTCTGAGAAAAGTGGTATGATTTCCATGCAGCAGGCATACGTTGGGACAGGAACTATCTACTTTACAATATAAATAGATGCTTTGCAGCAGTCACTGATGTAATGAAAGCTGTTTCTTAATCCTCACCATATTTTCTGATTAAAATGATCTGCTTTAATAATCACACATATTTGAAAATTTTGATTGAGAATTCTCTTACACAGTTCAGAGTGTGGGGAGGTTATTTTTATTTCATTTTATTTTACTTTATGAGGAACACAGACTTTTTGTGTTTAACCATGTTATGGTTGTTTTTTGAATGTTCTCAGCATGAAGACACACCTTGATACAGTGATGTTTATCCTGGTGTAACTTGCTGTAGCTGTGTTGTGTACTTTTTATGGGTGTTAGATATTCAATATGCATTTACCTTCGAGTATGAGTTTTTGTAAAGGAAAGTGGTTCCACAGTGTTTGAAAATAAATGTGCATGTAGGTCTCTACAATATTTACGTTTAGGWAGCACTTAAAAGCAAGGGCCTCTTTGCATTAAGCAAAAGGCAAGCAACTTGCAAATTGTCAGCATAGACCCTTGAAAAATTTTGCTGTTATGAAAGGTGCGATGTAACGGGTGGGCAAGACAAATTAGGAGGGTTAGGGGAAAACAAAAAATAATGAGTGGGGTTTCTGACAGAAAATTCAAGTGCATTTCTTTTAAGCTAATTTATAGCTATTGAAAGACTGGTTTGGCAATAGTGATACTCATATTGTTGTGTTCGGGGAAAGGAAAATTCTGCACACCTGAATGAATTTTGTAGCAGAATTTTATTGTGAGACTTTGGTGGAGTTTTCTGTCCCTTGGCTTAAGATAGGTTCTTCTCGTAAGCGGAGTCTCTTGAAGTGAAAGAAAGTGATAAAACGTAGACGAGAATGTTCCTTCTTTCATGTGTGTTGGAAAGGAGCCGGAGAACAAACTGTAATAGCTGCGCCCACTAGTGCCGCTGCAGGGAGAGGTGCGCCAGCCCCACSGGCAGCCGGTGCTCGCTGCCTCCTGCCTTGGACTGTAATTCATCCGTGAGCTGCAAACGGGCAGCTGGAATGTGAGAAAACAGCAGAAGCCGTGCTCTCATTCATGGAGTCATGGAAGATTCCGAGTCAGAAGGGGCCCAGAAGGATCATCCAGCCCAGCTCCTGGCCCTGCACAGGACACTTCAATAATCTCACCACGTGCGTCCTCAGTCTCAAATGAAAACTGATAAGAGTTTAACCTGTAATCCTGAAAATAACTTCAGCCATGATGCAGCACTAGACTGATGTAAATTAAGGGCATGGCTGCTGCTCTGCTGCTGCTCTTTTGTTGGCTTCAATGAGATGCTGTAATGTTACCTTAAACAATAGCTTTCTGTGGGTGAATCTGTGTAGCAATTATACTGGAGACACATTATAAAATAAGAACTAACAGYTGTTCTGTACCTACGTATTCAAGCAGCTGTTCTATAGTTTCTACAAATTAAGTATTGTTCTGCTGCTGTTAGTTAGCAGGGAAAGCTTTCTGAATCAGAAGTTACCTTTCTGTGTGTGGTGTTCTGCAATATTTCATATTTTATTAGTGTTCAGAATTAATTCTGTTTCCAAGCAGAGCCACTTCTCAGAAGCTTTCTCTGTTTTATTTTTTAGCTTGTCTCACTAACCACGAGGACAGCTGCTGTTGGACTAATAAACATTTTGAGATGCCATTTTAGTAGTTGTCCTGAAATGCAATGTTCAATATTTCTAAATATCTGACCCATTTAATGATTCCATTTTGTTGTCAGGTTTTGGTATCACTTACAAAATATTCTAATAAGAGTTAGTAAGATGTGAGGTATTTTCAGTCTTCAAGAATACAACTAACTTTGCTAATAAAAAATGGAAGGAAATCAAAATGCAAAGAAACCAAAGCATTAACATCCTAGAGATCTCTTTTCCACTTTATTCTGATTTAGTTATTAATTATGTGAGTTCAAAAGGGAAGAAAATGTCATGTTGCTAAGTTAGTTGTTAACGTAAACATTTTAAAGATTAAGACTTTTCAGATGATGCTTGATATCTTCATGGACTTGCTGTCAGAGATGAGGARTACAGTCTTGTTCAGTCCACATAAACAGCTCTGACTGTGGGATGTGTTGTTGGAAGAGGCATTTCCTGTAGCTAACYTTTTCATCCCTGCTTAGCACATTGACGCAGCAAAGGGGACATGAACAGGCATCAAGGTGGGAACAGAAAATTGCCAAATGTGGTGAAAGCTGGAAATAGTGTCAAAGTAACAGGATGTCTTATTTCATTAGGCTGTCACAAGAACATTAGAAGTGAGCAGGGTTGGTTTCTTTTTGTGTGCAAAGCTTTACTGACATTCTTTCTCCCTTCCCCTTTCCTCCCTTGGTGCCCTACAATGAGGAATAGTGGGGGAAGTTTTGGGGCATATAGCAAACTTCTGACTGATCATCTTGGAGCCTGAATTTCCAATAGATATTTCCTGGCAGCTGGTGCAATTTCTCTCYGAGTTCTGTTTGAATTATTTATTTGTTCATCCAATAAGCCTATTAAACAAAGCACTTAAGCACTTGCTACAACAGACTTCTTGTGCTTTTATTTTTTTTTTTTTTTTAAGGTTACATTATGTTACAATTGAAAATGATAGATTCTGGAGTCAGGCAACTAACTACTGAATATAAATCACATGTGGATATTACACTGTATGTGCTACAAACAGAAAATTCATGCATATTTCCCAAGAAGGGATGGATGGTTTATGACTCATTGCACTAAAATATGCCTCAAAATGTGTTGTTACAACACTTGTTTGGTGGGTCACTTCTCTGYGTTGTGTTTCTTTGTTCACTGTAAATGTATCCTGCAAATGCTTGTATATCAGATAGAAATACCGCTCCGAAAATATACATTCATATGCCTAGTTGATTCCTCAAATTACATGCTGTAAATTGTTCTCTTTTTTATTTMTTCCAAGATGGAAAATGAGTCTTAATTGTGCCCAGCATGGTATTTCAGAACACAGATACATAAACTCTGAGGTTTTTAGAACCAGTTGGAGGTTGAAGTTGTATTTCAAGCACATGCTGGAAGTACACAGGTTATCACAATCTTGTCCTCTTTGGTTTGTTTCCATTTATATTGCTCAGCCAGTAAAGATCTTCATTCACACATGGCATTTCTTTTTCTCTTAGCTTCTCCCTGACCAGCTGGTCTTACTTCTGGAGTTGCTTTTGGAGGAGAAGACGCTGTGTCCTAGAATACTGCAGTGCTTGGAGAAAACATACCAGCTCCGGGAGCAAGATGCTGAGGTAAGTTACTTAAAAAAAAATCTCCCTAACATACGCCACTGTGTTGTTGACTAGGAATCAGGCTCACTCCAGTTCTTTTTTTTTCCATGTTGGAATCTGAAATTAGATGATCTTAACTCCAGTATGTTGTATCTTCATGTGCCTTAATGACTCAGTATTTCTGTGTGCTTTGTGTAGGTGGYGTTTGTCGAGGTGTGTTTGCATACTGTGGTAGTAAAGTACAGAGCAGCCCAGGTGTCCAAACTATTGTACATGTACCTCAGCAGCACATTTGCTCAGGTGCTACATTTTTCACTATGTTAGGCTGACTGTGTGGTAGAGCCCAGTTTGTTGTGATACTGTCTCCAAATGTAATCATGCATGTTATAATCTAAAATTATTCCTCCCCATTGTCAGCTTGTATTGTTCCTCTTTGCATGCTTCAAAGTCTCAATCAGGATTTAGAAAAATTAGCTTTCCATAGAGACTATGCTGTTTTCTGTTTTGGGACATGATTTCAATGGGAAGTCAGTTTTTTACAGTTGCTTCTSGTAAGTGCCAGTGACATTAATAGCCCCTGAGGAAAACACTGCTTTATATGATACTGTAAAGAATAGCATCCCACTTCCAAAGTGCTTCATATCTTTGTGAGGCAAACATTTATTACCAYATGCAGAGTTGTCTGTTTTAAGTCCCATGGTTTTCTCAAGCTGGGAGAGCTCTGACAAGGCAGCAGAAGTAGGAACTGAAAGTACCCTTAGAGTGAGCTTTTGCTACAAGTACATAGTATTCAGGAGGGGAGGTAAGAAGGTGAAATCAGTGATGCAAATTAAAGATTTGTAGATATATCTATGTGTGTGTGTATGTGTGTATATGTGAATATATATATATGTATATATGAAAAATGAAGGTTAATTGTGAAGTAGCATATAACTAAACTACTGTGCAATGAGGGAATATGGTAAATTCAACATTTGGCTCCTGTTTATTTGAAAACTMCCTTGCAGAAGGTTGCAGAAAGTCAGTGTGCCTGACTTACCCTGGTATAGTTGGAACTTTATGGCAATAATTAGAATTGARGGAGAGAGCAAAATGTCTCATTACCCTTATGTTGAAGTTGCTGTGTGGATTCTTGTAAAGACTTGGAAATCCAAACCTTAACATAAAGATCGATAGAACAGAGGTCTACCTTTTTGTCAGAAAAAAAACAAAAAGGACAACATTTAGACTGCTATTGTTTACTGTGCCTTTTTACTTTTTGTTGATACAGTTTTCCAAATGCGAGATTTGTTTTTWATTAGTACTTGAACCAACATTTCTATTCATAGGTATTAGAATATATTTTAATCACATCTGAATACCAGTGAAATGTCAGTGGTTCTATTATGGGAAGAGGAATTAATAGGGAGGTAGATCAAAGTAATAGCTGTGTTGTTGCTTCTCCATGTCTGTGAATTGTAAGCACCAGCCCACAAGCTTCAGTTTCTCCAGTTTTTCCTTTCTCTTCACTTTCATTCTTTCTTTATTCCTTGCAGTGTTATGTAATAGTATGCAAATGATCTGTCACAAATTTTTCTTGAAAAAACTCCACAAACTCACTCCAAAACTATGATCTCTAAGAAATGAACCTAATTTCCATTTTATTTTACAAGGTGAAACCAATGGCTTAGCAGACAACACACTTAGAAATACAACTAAGATAACATTACTATTAGCATTTTACAAGTCATTAGACACTAGACACCTACAGTCCTTTAAAAGGAAATAGCTCCCACGGCCTCATACACCTGAGGAAAGGACTGTTTGTGCCTCTTTCTTCATGTRTATGCACAGGGGATTTTTGTTGTCATGACCCAGGGACAAAGAACTGCAATCTGAGCCTATTCTTGTCTAGATTTAATTTGTGAACACACAAATCAGTTACAGCAATCCTCAAATGTTCTCAGTAACTTAACATTAGAAATGGAYCATTAAAATAAAATCATAAAAAAATTTGCAGGTAGGCCAATGAAAAGAAGAAAACTGTCAGTGTCATAAGGTTTATTCCAGGATTTTTGGAAGTGAGGTTGCCAGCTGTGTTTCATCCAGCAGCAGAAAGTTAAGAAATAAACTTGTTTTCTTATTGAAAAGTAGCTTTAAAGCTTTTAAACTTTTTAAAGTTTTTTTTAGAGTAGCTTTTAAATTCACATTAATCTTCCAATAGGGATTAGTAGTGTTATGGAAAATAGTATGTGAGAGTGGTACACAAAGGAGTGTGGTTTTTTGTATTTCAACAAAGTTTGTTCTTAAAATTTAAAGTTTAAAACATAATTGAAAACATAGAGTTTTATCTGCACACTTGGGAGTCAGAAGGTTATTACTGAAGGTCTTTATGTCCTGTACAAGCATAGCATGGAAAGTCCTGATTCCTTTTTCTTAAAGCTTTTSTGTGTGCATCACTGAAGCATCTTTGTTTTGACTTTGTAGTATGAAATTGAAATTGACCATGGTTGTTGAAGTAAAGCATTGCACACCCATTGGCATCTGCACTTGCCCACAGCAAAATGCAGGTCTGTCCCCAGCCAGTGGCGCTGTCTGGTACTCCTGACCACTCGTTGCCACATGCGCATCCAGTCCGAACAACCTGAGGGGTCTCGTCTTTCTTGGGAAAGGAGAGGAGGGTTTTCTGCAGGTTTTCTGCCTTGTTTCAATTCCTTTGTATCAGTCAGGAAGGGAGAGAGGTCAGAGTCAGCCTTGGCCAGGAATGWGAAGGTTCATCTCTCTTCAAGGGATCCTCCTCAGCAACTCAATGTAGTTCCAGTCCTTTCCCAGATTAGGTCTCAATGCAGATATGTAGACTCAGCATCTGCCTCCCTTTTAAGAAAGATGTGGATTTGAATGCTACTAACAAACAAATAAAAAATAAATCCTAAGTTAAGTAACATATTTCTGATTCATAATGCATAACTTCTGAGCCACAAGAGCCAGGAGTGCTGATGGCTTAATCACATTTCAGGATGGTCTGCCCTTAGTCTTGGATGCCAAGAAAAGCTTATAGAGCATCTAAGAAACTGCAGAACTGTGACTCTTGCTTGCTTTTTGCAGTCCTTTTCTATAACAAATCACTACTTCATTTCCATTTACTCTTAAAACTTTTGAACATCTGAGAAGACACAAAACTACAAATTTGTTTTAAAATATTGAATTCATCAAGCTGAGCTATTTGAATTGACCATATCCAAGAACTTTGAAAGATTGTTTTGAAAGCTATGTAGGATTCAAAGTTTCAAGCCATTTTTCCATCTTCTCTCTGTGCCTTGAGCTCATCATGGCTCAGACAAGTAGTGTTGAGTAAGTGGGAAGCAATTACATGGAAGAGATTGTAGCCTCAGTTTTCTCCTCCTGTTCCACACTATTTTGTTGAGCTGTTTCCCACTACATGACAAAATAATTCATAGACAGGCTACATCTCCATGACATACCACATCCTGCATCCAAGAGAAGCATTATGGAAGCTGGCTGCATTTTCAACATGACAAAGTCCAGCTGGAAGTTCAGCTGGCTGAGGAGAAATGGGATATGTCATAAGGCAGCAGCTACAGTTGCCATCAGAGAGCACAGTAGGATAATAGAATTTAAAGTGAGTCTGGGGTTGGTTTTGTTTTGTTTCTTTCCAAAGTGGCTGTTCTATGCAGCTGTTTCATTTATTCAATATCTAGCATCTGGCAGAATGTGGAGAGTTGGTCTRCATGGGAAGTTTTAGGTGGCTAGTATTTGTTTAAATCTGCCTAACCTTGATGACATCTCTTCTGATATGACAGTGCAATCCTATCTCATTTGAACAGGCTATTGAGAACTTTCATATAAATAAAATGGAATCAGTCAGTTACAAAAGGTAACACTGTGGAATCTGAGTTAACACTTAATGAATCTCTTAGCTAGAAGAGGCCTCTTATCAGTCCCCTTATTTCTGTTCTTCATTTGGTCAGAGAAAGGCCTGTAACATGTAGACACACAAAGGTGCAGGATGGCTGAGGAGCCTGCAGGATAGTGAAAAAGGTGACAGGGAAGAGATCACATAGCCATAGGAGAAGGACAGTGGGTACGACACTTTCAGTCCCATTTAACACTTGATGATATTTCTGCAAGTGTGTTTTCCTTGTTGCTGAATTATCTAAGACGTCGTGATAAAAAATACAGAATGTGGATGAAGCAGAAATATTTATGGTGTTTTCCCCCAGATTTTTCATCGTTAGCTTTACTTTCTTTCCTATGATAGGTATCACTTTTTTATAAAATGTTTTGCCTGCACAGCATATGGAAAGTTGCTTTATTGGTTTTCCTTGTCTCAGCAAGTTGACTGAAATGCTCTTCACTTACATAATGCTGTCCCTGTATTTGGGATCATARTGTGGTATATTTTGGGGAGAGAAGAGAAACTAGAACTCTTTCTGCAGTAAATGTGAGCAAAATGAGTTAAGATCTTAATATCATCAGTCATATGGGTGGCAAAAAGCCATTCTCACACAAGTACTTCATTGTGCATGAGGTCTGCCTGTGAGACCAAGTCTATAAAGTGGTGGCATCTTATTTCACTGACAGAAATGCAGTCACGCTAATACAAACCATATAAGGTGCTTGGCATCCTAGAAGTGGTGAGAATTGTTTTACGACAAAATAACTTTTATTCATTGATCTTTCCTGGCCTGTGAAAAACTAGCAGATGGGGAAGAACAAACAAATTCTTGTCACTTGCYATCTGATGGTGACTGCTGAGCAAATTCTGGGGCTGCGTAATTGAGCTGTCCTGCTCCTTGTGGATGGGCATTGTTTGAAGGCATGCTTACAAGACAGAGCTCTGCAGACTACACTGTAAAACTGATTGGGAAATGGGAACTCTCTTGGGAAAGGCCAGTTCACACTTGCAGAAGGCTCTTGATGAGCTTTCCTTTTAGCACAGCCACTGGGCCAGACCTCCCCTGTGGCAGGGATTCAGAAGCAGTYTCCAGCTTTTGAATACAATTAATAGAAGTGTTGCTAAT